GTCTCTTAATTATTCGACCAAGAATTGATTATCTCTGGTAGAAAGTGTCGGAAAACTGTAAATATCTTTAAAGGATCAATAAAGGGATACAGTTTCCCTTCCTATTGCCCTGATCATTGCAAAATTATTTTTCAAGTAGAAAATCGAACCTACAATCCAAGAGTACCATGCCATGCACCACTCTTAATTACGGTTTTGCTGTTGATTAAAGAGGTTCTCAGAGGACCTAATGTCAGCATTCATCATTCAATCGATTCAATTCGAATCAGTTTAATATTCGTTAAGAATGTTATTATAGGTAGTACTATCTTATAATAATGTTGCATTTCATTCGTAAGATTATATTTTATTACATATTATATTAAAACAGATTTATATTTTCTCATACATTCGTATTACTTCGTCTTGATATCAGATGTGTAATGTTGAAAATTAATGATCAATATTTGCTGAGTCTCGTGAATGTATTATGGAATGTTAATTAATTCTGAGGATCTAGAATCATTGTTATTATTAATGTTCTAATCGTTATTGTTATCATTTATGCAATTATCATAATATTATTTTGTCACAATTCAATTAATCACATAATTGTAAGATACAAATGGGACATGCCCATTCGCATAGTATAAATCACGTGTCTATCCATTCGTTTTAATATTCGTTGATTTGTTGTAATACTCTACGTTATTGTGCTTTTACTAACATTTTCTGTTTATTTTGCATATTACAACGTTTCATTATTGTTTTAGCTACTTCAGTCATTATCACTGCAGTTATTTCGTCCCTAAATATTTGCATTCATAGCACTTATATTCAAAAAACATGAATTGTTCGGTTGTTGCATTTACTGAAAGTTTTTCAATCTATCTATAAATCAATTTAAAATTTCTAATCAACTGTTGTGTTCGTCTGCAAAATTTCATTGAATTTTGTTATATATATTTTCGTTTTGATCAATTCATCTTCTTCATTCAGATAGCAATAGCATTATTGCTTTATGTCTTTCTTCATTTTCCTATGTTCGTATTTTCTAAATTTTGTTTTGACTTTCTTATCTATTCTAAGAATTGTCTCGATGAAATCAACAAACGAAAATTGATCACTTCGTTCACTGCATTCGCTGATTAGTGGTGCACACCTCTCAAACGTTTTACTGAGATTTAAAGTTTGAGGTTTAAAATGTTGATTAACCACTGAAGTTTGAGGTTTGAAACGTTCATTAACCACTCAAGACATGCCAGGGGAATGCCATCGGCATTCAGTTTTTCAATTTTATCTTCCAGCTAACCATAATTTCCAGTTCTGCGCTATCAAAAAGTGATGGTTGTTTACCCTGAATTTTAGGAAATAGCTTAAAAGCACGTTTTAGTCCTGTGCCTACGTATCCGAATGGAACGTGCATTGAATGAGCCATGCGTATGTATATCTCTTATAGCTGATGATATGAATTCTATAAAATGCATTTAACCGTTCATTATAGAACGTTCAATTTAAGTATTGTCAGTTGTGAACATTCAATTAAAGTATTGTCAGTGAATATGGAATGTATAATTTAGATTTTGTGAATTATGATTACTTTATTTCATTAGTTTAACTGCCTTTCAGCTGCCGGCGATAATGTTGTAAAATCACAATAATAAACATTCCTTTAACAAACAAACCTTTATAATGCGATATGTTCGCAGTTTAATCGTTAAAATCCAAAAATATCGGAACGAAAAATTTTTGGAATTTACTACGTGCAATAAAAAATGCACCTTGTACATTTTTGTGTATTTGGTAAAATTTCGTTCTGTTTTAATGAATCATTTCAAATGTAGAATTTCGCGAGAAAGATTCATTGATTCACCGAGATATGTGTTGAAGTAGATGGATAGAATAAGCGATTTCATCGGAGTTGAATGAATGTGAATTTGAAGGAAGAAATGAAATGGGGTGATGATTAAGAAAGGATTGAAACGTGGACGCGAAATGATCTTTGATGTCATTGATAAAAAAATGAACTCATTCTTCAAATTTATTAGCGGATTAGTATAATCAGTGCTGCCAACAACTGACAATAAACGAGAACTGGTATTAATGGCTTAATATTGCGTCCGATTATTGGTCTGCCGTATGGTCGTTTTTATTTTGATTGATACGATTATTCCGACTGGTTGTTATCATTATCACTTCGATTCGAATGCACGTTTTTAAAATGCTTCTTGACGAAACATTAAAGTACGTATGAGTGTAACTTCGTTGTCTTCCCAAGAAATAATCCTTGCACCACAATCTCGTCAAATTGACTCAGCCATCAAATCAGTTGATCAATCCAATCGATTTTTGCCAGTCGTTCAATTTTTTATTGTTGACGGTATTAATTGAAAACTGCTCGTATTATCCTATTATCGAGTAAGCTTGCATAAAATTCACAATATGCTATACCTACACGTTTTCTTTTCTGTTCTCTACATGCTCATGCAGCATCAACCAGTTGCTCTTCAAGGGTTTGTGGTTTTAATCTCATGAAAGAAACGAATCAAACAATTTGAAATGATTGTGGAATTTGTTGTATGAGTTCTGATTTAGTGATATCATTCGATAATGATGTTGATGACTGTGAGTGAAACAATCGTGTAATTTGTTACCAATATAAAGTAGTGGGAGCAGCAGCGATCAGTCGTCAGTTGTTTGTGATGTGCATAGATTGCTGATTATTCGCTAGTTGTTACTGCTGATTTTATATTTTGGTGCATTCTTGTCAACTAACAAAATGATTCTTATGTAAAGTGTGTTCTCATTCTTTTTTCATCCTCTTTCCATTTACCTGGATCGGCCAGGCTATCAAACGTTTGTAACGTTGCTGGCCACAATGCTCGCGTTTCCGTGCGCATTGTTTTAGCCTCAATTTACGCCACCCCGCTGGCTAGGCGAGTAGGCCAACCGAACACAACCGAGTAAATAATTAGTCGCCGTGAATACTTTGCATAAATAAACGCAGTCAAATACCAATTCAATAAATAATCATTACTCAAATAAAATAAATATTCCGCCGATTGCTCACTGCGATTGACGAAACA